ACACATTTAGGTTCAAGAGTCTTAGTTCAAATCTACTTTCTTATGTGATTCCAAGTGACTGGAAAAGTGGAGTTCTAGAAGGCATTCTACTCTCTGAAATCTTTGGAGTGTAGCCATGTTTCCAGGAAACTCTTTGTGTGTAGAACAGGGATGGACAAAAGTTTAAATGGTGCTCAAAAGCCCACTCCCTGCTGCGGAAGAGTGGCTGGTCCACCCATAGATCTAGTGATAGTAACCAGGGGCTCCATTCAACAGCATAATGGCAGAGCTAAGAGCTGCAGCCCATCCATTTTACAAGCACTCAAGCTATCTATCTATAAAATGCAAGGTGGGTAAAGGGGTACACACATTTTTCTTGAGGATGAAAACGCATGCATTACATAATGAGGAGGACTGGTGTGCTATTTATTTATTTATTATTATTTTTTTAAAGATTTTATTTATTTGACAGAGAGAGACACAGTGAGAGAGGGAACACAAGCAGGGGGCGTGGGAGAGGGAGAAGCAGGCCCCCTGCGGAGCAAGAAGCCTGATGCAGGGCTCCATCCCAGGACCCTGGGGTCACGACCCGAGCCGAAGGCCGACGCTTAACAACTGAGCCACCCAGGCGCCCCTGGTGTGCTATTTAAAAAGCATATGGGGGCACCTGGGTGGCTCAGTCGGTTAAACATCGGACTCTTGGTTTCAGCTCAGGTAGTGATCGCAGGGTTGTGAGATTAAGTCCTGTGTCAGGCTCTGTGCTTAGTGTGGAGTCTGCTTGAGATTCTTTCCCTCTCCTTCCCCCTCTGCCCCTCCCCCACCTCTCTCTTTCTCTCTCTCTCTCAAATAAATAAATAAAAATCTTATGAGCCCTAGCATTGGAAAGCAAATGGTTCTACCCGAGAGAACACCATTTTTCACTCTTTTTTTTTTTTTTAAAACATCTTTCCATCCATGGAAGACAGCCTTGAGCTTTGAACCCACAGTGCTTTGTTCCAGCATGGAACGTAACTTGGCACTTCTCTGTTGGAATCTCCCTAGTCTGAGATGCTGAAAACATCTTCTTCCAGACAGTTTCCCTTTCTTCATCCAGAGCTTCATGCCAGTGGTCACCTTTATGACATCAAATGAAGATATACTTGTTGGCTGGCTACATGGATCTTGTCGGCTTTGCCCTGATGCCAGAGCAGCAGGCTTTGAGCTCAGGGAGGATTTCCAGGTGGCAGGAGAGCAAAGATCCCATAGGGTAAAATTCTGACATGGTTCTCCTTTCAGTCGGTGACAGAGGCTGCACTTTGTTGGTGTAATTGTGCAACCTGGTATAAAGTCCACAGCAGGGAGATGGGGGTAGGACTCTAAGCTGGCTCAGCAGTCCGTGGCCTCTTGGCTCTGTCTCGCTTTCCTTACTCTCTTCTCTGCTGGCCTTCCCCCCCAACCCCCACCCCAAGCCCTCCTCTCTAATCCCTCCATCCCTGCCAGTCTCCATCTTCAGGGATCCCTAATTCAGGGAACTCTCTCTTATCAAATATCTTGGCTTGCTTCCAACTACTAGAGGCAGGCAGCTCTGGCTCTTGTCTACTATCTGAATGCTTTTCTTCTCTACCAGTTGTTTGTTTCTGTAATCCATTTCGAATTGTGTGTAGAATCCAAAAACAAACCCCCCAAAGCAGCTTTTCCCTAGTGAGATTGCCCCCTGGACTAAAAGAGCAATGAGGGGCGCCTGGGTGGCTCAGTCAGTTAAGCGGTTGCATTTGGCCCGGGTCATGATCCCAGGGTCCTGGGACTGAGCCCCGCATCGGGCTCCCTACTTAGGGGGGAGCCTGCTTCTCCTTCTCCTCCCCGCTTGTGCTCTCTCTCACTATCTCTGTCACTGTCTCTGTCTCTCTCTCAAATAAATAAACAAAATCTTAAAAAAATAAAAATAAAAATAAAAGAGCAATGAAAGGAAACCTGGATTCTGCTCCCTTGAAAAGTGTTGTGATGAAAAGAGAGCAGAAAGCAGTGTCAGCATGCACCGGAGCCCAGAGCAAACCGTGCTCCTCCTTGGACATCAGGACATCACTCCAAGTCCTCCATTGTCTACTTAATCAGGATTTATAAAGTCTATTTTTGCCTTTAATATACCTGCGATCCTGGTCTTGCTCAAGTGGCTCTGAGCAGATATCATCTGCGCCACCCCCACAGTCAGCCTCACAATACAAAGATGCAGACTCCCTGACTCCAGTGTTCTTGCTTTCTAAGATGGGGTCTGAAGAGTGGGTAAGACATAGCACAGGAAAGATAAGAGAGTCTGGCTGGATTAATTACGTCATAAGGTCACCTTGTGCATGCTAAATCAAAATGGGGGTACGAGCGATAACCTTCCCAGTACTGCATGGACTTTATTTCTTTATTTTTTAAAGATTTTATTTATTTATTTATTTGACACAGAGAGGGAGCACAGGCAGGGGGAGTGGCAGGCAGAAGGAGAGGGAGGCAGAAGGAGAGGGAGAGGCAGGCTCTCCGCAGAGCAGGGAGACCCGATGCGGCGCTCCACCCCAGGACCCTGGGATCATGACCTGAGCTGAAGGCAGATGCTTAACTGACTGAGCCACCCAGGCGCCCCCCTGCATGGACTTTAACACAATAAATAGCTTTCTGGTGGGTCAAGAATGTTCCTTAAAACCTTCCTCCTTTAAGATTTTTTTTCCTCTTCTTACTGGGTTGAACATGTTTATTTTACATTTTTTGTTTGATTTTCACAAGGAATGGTAGTGGTAGAAGTGTAAATATGTATGTATGAGTGAAAACATTTTGAATGTTTCAACATTTATGAATACCTTTTTTTTTTTCAGTGTACGGAATGGAACGGATAGCTGACCTTTGTGGCAGTATTCCTAGTTTTGTGATAGTAATTTTGTTGAGTTCCTGAACTTGATGGCAAGTCCTCTTAGTGAGTCTAGCATAATTCCATGTTCTCTATGGCACCAAGTCTCTATGGCTGTACAAGAGCCATTATTACCCAAAGTACCATAATAATGCCCATGCCCTCCTATGACGTTATTGTTTCCTATCTGCCAGGATATTAATTGCCTTCTAACTTGCTCTAAAATTGGTAGGTAGGGCATACTGCCAAGACTAGAGAGAAGAAAACTGGTAATATATTAAAACGCTGTGCAAAGGATATCCTGATACCTCCTTCTCATTGGGGAATTTTCACATTTGCATGTTACTCCATTTGTCATGGATGTTAGCTCAGGCTTGCCTTATGTCTTGGCTTCCATACTACCATGGTCAATGTCTGATCTTTCCTTCAAGTGAATGATTCAGACGTCTCTGAAGTTATTTTGTCTTTTCCACTTTCCTTTTACAGGCTTTTTATGAGTCATTGAATGAAGGGGAGGTTATTTCTAAATTGGAAGGTGAGGATGAGGGAAGGGGGAGGAAAGTTCCGGAAAATAACTAGGAAAAGACACCTTATTGTTATAGTTACTGGAGGAATAATTTCCGCTTAGTTTGGTGATAGGTAGTTTTATTCAAACTTGACTAAAAATATAAGCTAGAAAACAGACAATTTTTTTTCTTGGATAACCAAGAGTGCAGTTTTAGACTATCCTCAGCTTGCTCTGCAAAGGACAGAAGAGTGAACAGAAGAGATATGGGACAAAGAGTTAGCAGGAAGAAGAAAGGGACAAAGCACAAAATTCCTAAAGTCCAGATTCTCAGTCCCACAGGAAGTTCCCAACCATAAGGTAATTCTTGTGCGGGGGTACCTCTTTGACCTGTCCCAATCCATCCCTAGGTATGTTTCATGGTCCATGGGTTTGTGTATTATAGGTAGAGTTGTGAGGAAGGTACATTTAAATCTGACTTAGAAATTTAAAGAGTAATCAGGCCAGCATTTTGTTATTTAGGAGCAGGAAAAGTGGGTGGAAATGAGAAAGAAAAGCAAAATCTAATGATGGATATATTTCTAGGAGCACAAGAGTTTTTATAGCAACACCAGATTTCTCAAAAATGCGTACTGTGACTTGTAACCAAATGAATAAAAATTGCAATCATTTATTCTTGTGCATTGTGCCAATGTAAGAAAAGGGCTGCAATTCATTCCATCGTCCTAATTTAGACTGCTAGGAAGAGGAGAGGTTGGGAAAAAAAGACAAGCTTTTCAAGTATCTGACACACATCTAGTAGGGCTATTTAAGAACTGCTGAACATAAAAATCAATTTGGGAGAACGTGGGGGAACCGAATTCTCAATTCCAGAGCATCGCAAGGGTAAATGTGGCCCGTTTAGTCCAAATTTGCTGATGGCTGCTTGGTCACTTGACAGCCCCCAGCTAGGGGTGAGTCTGGAAGCTAGAGAACGCTCAACATGCCACTTCAGTTTATTTACGACGTTATAATTGCAAAAGAAGTGATTGATTTCAGCTAAATAAGCAGTTGTGCTTTCCCCTTTAGCGTGGAGACTTCTGGAAAGAACTTCAAGGAAATTGGTGCATTTGGGACTTCAAGAAGAAATTTTTATCTGTTTAAGTGCTTTTCTCCTAAAGAGTTGGAAAACACTCCTTAAACACAATCTCTGATGTTGGTATTTTGTAAGTACTACTCTATAAACTAGCAGTGATAAACTCCTTACAGGCAGGGAACTGGCGAAGGGGATGGGAATACAGCGTGAACTCTACAACAAAGAGTTAACCCTTCCCCGGTAACCTCGGTTGTGAGCGTCTGCCCCTTCCTTGCTTTCTACTGCGCAACCAAACTGTGCCCAAGCTTGAACCAACCATGGCCATCACAGCCCTTGCCAGTTGACTTAACAGACACTTTTGGCAGCCTATCATAACTTCGAACTGCCCAACCATCAACCAATGACAATTAAAGCTTGGTTCTGGGTGCTCCGGGTCCGGACGCGGGCTAATACCGGGTCCAGGAAAAGGGGCGGTGAGGAAGCTATGACGGACGGCTAAACTCAGCCAGTCAGAGCAGAAAGCCGCCGCCCCACTATCCAATGGAGAGGTAGAAAGTATGAAATGGGGTGGGCCTGTTGTCATGGGGGAGGTGGTGGCGCTTGGTGGCTACTGGCGGCCGAGGTAGAGGCAGTGGCGCTGGAGTTGGTTGGGGGCAGCGGCAGGTGAGTGCCGGTAACGCGGGCCTGAGGTTTGGGGGCCGTCGCGGGGCAGAAACTCCAGCTGGGCGCTCCGGAGGCGGAGGCCAGAGGAAGGGGGCCTGGACTGTGGGCCGGGTCTGGCCGGGGCCAGGGTGGCGGCGGCGGCGGCGGCGGCGGCTGCAGCGAGTTCGCGCTGACTGGGCTGGTGGGAGAACGGCCCGATTCCCGGCGGCGGAGTTCGCGTTGCCAAGATAGGCTGGGGCCGGACCCGAGCGGTTCTGACAGGGAGGTCCCTTGGGACGTCCCACTGCTTGGGTCTGGGGCACTGAGCGGCGGTCGGTGTGTGAGGGGTAAGATCCCTCGGGAGACGGAAGCGGACGGGGTCGGGGGGGGTGGTGACCCGAGTTGACTGGCAACGACCTGGTTCGAGGACCGGGTGACTCGGGAATACACACCCAGGGCAGCTTAGGTGCGAGGGAGCAGAGAACCCCGGGAATCCCAGGAGCGGCCCGAGCGGGGAGAGCTGGGGGTCCGGGAAACTGGGAGTGGCCGGGGTCCGAGGGAGAAGGGAGACTGAGGGCTATCGGGGTTCGGGGTGACAGTGAGCGGCCTGGGTCCGAGCGAGGGCGTCGAGGAAAGGCGCGGGGGGGGGGCTGGGGACCCTCTTGAGAAAGGCGGCTGTCCGAGGGTGGAGGGCTCCGGGGGAGTGGGAGCCGCGGGTTTTAGGAGGGTGGGACCTGTGGAGACCTTGGACAGCTGGGGTGGAACCGGAGCGCCCTGCCCCCACTGCTGGTCTGGGATGGGATACCCAAGACTGGACTGGGAGCTCCTGGGTCTGAGGATCCGAGGGGGCCAGGGATCCCCGAGGAGTAGCTCGGATTTGAGACTAGGGTGGGGGGTCTACTGGGGAGTGGAAGTTGTCTCAGTTGGAGAGGAGTCAAATAAAATGACACAGGGGTGGGCGGGGAGAAATAATTTCCTTGTAGGAAGCGCGTAGTTCATAGGGCGTAGTAGGAGGGAGCGAGAAAGTTGCTCAGGAAGAGTGGTGGTCTTGTGGAAACGGGCCAGAACAGTAGATAGAAGAAATTAACAGTGGCCATTAGTAGATTTTAAGGACTTCAGAAATAGAAGAAACTTCGGCTTCATAATACTGTAAGTGACTTGCATTCCAATGCTTTAGTAAAAAAATTGTTTTAGGATGACACCAATGATATTAGAAAACGAGGCCATTGACAGGATGGTGAATTTGAAAGGGAAAGGGGAGGACTAGCTGAAACTAAGGGAGTAGGTTGGGGGACTTGATCAGAAAGAGGGGAGTCATGAAAGGATGGACATACCCTGGCCAAATCAGAAAAAAATTTGAATTCTAGTTCCACCCCTTAGCTTGGAGAATTTAACCTCTCTATGCAAGTTTCCTTGTCTGTATAATAGGAATAATAATGCTCTCTGTTTCATAGGGTTGTTTTTTCACATGAGTTAGTGTTTGTAGAACTTTTAGAATAGTGACTGCCACGGAGTAAGCCCTGGGTACTTACTGACTGGATTGTTAAATAGAGGAAAAAGACGGAGATTTTTTTTATGCTGTGGTTCTCAAACTTTAGCTTGCACCAGAATCATTTTGGGCTTGGTAAAATACAGACTGCTGGCCCCCTCCAGAGTTTCTAATTCAGTAAGTTTGGAGTGGGTCCTGAGAATTTGCATTTATCTCAGGCGATGCTTATGTTGGTCAGAGGATCACACTTTAAAAACCACTTGCTTCCATGAAAACAATAATAATGTAGCAAACTTAAAATATCTGTCTATCCTGCTAGAGACAAGTAGAGGCAGATTGCAAAAATAATCCAAATATAAGGGATACCTCTGTGAAGCCTGTGTTTTTCAAACTGTGGATCATGATTTATTAGTAATTTATAAAATCAATTTAGTGGGTTACCGTCAGCACTGAAAATAAAATGAAATAGAACAGAATTGCACTTGGTAAGGAAAGTATTGTTTGGGAAATTTTTCTCATGTGTTATGTACTAGGTCACAATGTAAAATGTATTTCTTACAGTCAAAAGAAACTCAAAAACTGTTTTGAGCCATGCAGTGCAGCAAAAGTAACCCTTCAGTAGAGGGTTTCTAGGACTGGGTTTGTTATTTATATCTTTATTTTTCTTTTTCTGGTAATTTGTCTCTGGTGGTGATACATTCTATTACATCTCTTCAACTTCTGATTCGGTTTCTCTTATGTTTGCTTTGTCACATATTGTGTTGTGTCTCTTTTTAGATATTGAAAATCTTTGGTATGAGGACTTAGGAAATTTGAGGCAGAGAAATGAAATCGAGTGGTATTTCACAGATGTGGTACACCTTTGTTTCACTTGTGCCCTCTTGTTTACCCTTTCTTTTTATACCACCGTACTGTAAAGCACTGTCTGTAAAAAACCTAAGTATACATAGACATATTGGCAGTAAATAACTGACGCTGAAATGAACTGGTTTGAGAACAGTTCTTGTATAGAAAATAAGCATAACCAAATAAGATACATTTCAAAGGAGAAAAGCAAAGGAGTGTTTCCTTTTTAAAAGAGAGTAAAAGTTATTTAAAGCTTCTCAGGGCCCGTACACTAACACAAAACATATAAAAGCGTTTTTAAGGGAATCAGATATACTTCTGTATTTTAGATTTTTAGGTTTTTGAAGGGCGAAGAAAGTGATAATAATCTACAGTAGAATGCACTTGGGATAGAGGCTTAAGTACAAGGTAAATATTTAGCAGGAGCTTTTGTTTTGATGTTTTTCTCCCTTGAGAATGAACTGGATGTGGCATATATGGTAAATTTAACTTGTTTGAGGGATTTAAATGTAATCTACAGTACCTTTTTAAAGCTATATTAAGAATATATATTTTTTCTGTGCTGTTCTTGGTTTGATTTTTCTTCTGTAAAAACCTATATGGTTTATATTTAGGAGGAGTTGATTTAGATTAGTTTTTGTGGATGTAAGAACAGAGAAAGCAGTATTGAAAACAGATTCTTGCAGTTCTCCTTAAAATCTTTAATCCAGGGGATTTATGTAACCCTTTCATTAATATTTTATGAAATTGTAAAGAAACTCTTGGTGTAGCTTTGCATTAAGATTTTTTGTAAATTTTATTTATTTATTTGAGTGAGAGAGTGGGGGAGAGAGAGAACATGAACAGGGGCAAAGGGAGAGGGAGAAGCCGACTCCGGCTGAGCAGGGAGCCTGAATCGGGGCTGGGTCTCAGGACCCTGGGATCACGAAAGCAGATGCCTAACCTACTGAGCCACCCAGGTGCCCCGCATTAGGATTTTTACATAATTTCTTGTCTCTCAAAAATAATTTTTCTCAAATTTTTATATTTCATTAAAATTTTATTTTTGTTTGGAAGACTGCAAAACATATAATCATTACATATTTGAATTGAAAAACATAAGCAGTTTTTTCACAGAATAAATTTACTGATTTTTATGATAAAGGTTCCAAGGATGAAAGCTTTTGAATTCCTTGCATTGCATTGAATGGAGTATTCCTACCGCCAAAATGGTGGTTCTGTAAGTCACTGTGCAGTTGGTGATCACATTTGTAGAGATCATTCATTTTTTACTAACTGATGGAAGAATGTAAAATCTTAATAATTGAGTGTGGGAAAATATGAAAGTTCATTCTTTGTAATTGTGAACATTGGTTTGATTACTTGCTTTTTAATAAATGGACTTTATTCAATTGACTTATTATTCACCCATAATTTAATCACAGGTATCTATGAATAGCTCTGATTGCTCAACACTTCACAGTGAGATTTGTTAATCTGTAGTTGAATAAATGGTGGTTTTTAAATCCCAAGGAAACTGTATGTTCCTGACTGTACAGTTTAGTGAGATTTAATTTCATATATCAAAGAAAATTCAAGTAAGTAATTTAAAAAAGTAGAAGTTCAATTAACACTAGTTAATTAAGTTTATTTTCTATTTCAGTAGCATTTTATCCTCTTTTATAAATAGCTTCTGATCTGCTCTCTCCGCTTCTAGCCTTTATACAGTAAATCCTAATGGAAATGTTGGTGCCTGAAAATCTAGTTCTGTAATGGTACAGAAACCTATGTCTGGTTTTCAGTTTGCTGAGAGAAGTACTTTTATTAGAAAAGATCCCTTGGTAAACTTAAAAAAAAGTTGTTTATTTAATAGAGTACTTGAAAACCAGCATTTTATTTTGGGCTTGCCAAAACATCTATTGTGTTTGATAGATTTTGATTGCCACTGAATGGCTCTTGAATTCTCCCAATTTCTCAACTCTCATACATGTTTCCTTGATAGGGCTAAGGAGAAAGGAAACAATTGTACTCCTTAAATATTAAAAAAGAATTTTGCTATCTTATTTTTTTATCTTGACATTAAAACAGATCCTTTTATTTGCCAAGAAAATTTGTTTCAGTAATATAACCTATTGGAAATTTCGTTATTAAAGTCAGAAATATTATATAAAGCCTTAGGGTGTTTGTTCAGATGTGAGACCCAGGTTCTGATAAGTAGGATGTCCTTATGATACTGTTACATATTTTTGAGATTGTAAAATATACACACTTGGAAATCTTGGGGCAAAAGGAGTGTTGAAACTAAGGGAGAATGAGGAGAATACTGACATGTGTTTGAGGAGTCTGGAGGATCTGTAGGAAGTATGTCTAGAGTAGTGAGCCACTCTTGGCAGTTTTCCTAGAGTGACATATGTAAAGGAGGATGATCCTATTTGCAGCATTCTCCCATGGACATATTTTTTTGTTCTGTGCAGTTTCCACTGCTTGCCATAACTCTTCCTTTGTTATCTTCCACTCGGGAAAGCAGGTCAGAATGCAAGTGAATAGACTGAGAACGTTAGTCCTAGAGGATGGGGGCCTGGGCAGGACCATGTGGAATTAGAAGGCTGGACTTGTCTCTGCTTCTGCAGCTCTTGGTAATAGGTCCATAGCAATTTTAACTAGGCCAAACCATACCACTTGTCCTTCCCAGTGGAGTCTGGGTTTA